ATGTGTATGCTTATATAATATAAGAATAAATATATTTTTGATTGTGTTTGTGACTTTGCAAGTTAAAATCATATGTTTTCTTAACCCAACTAGCAAAGGTGGCAAAAAAAAAAAAACCGGCAAAGGCTTTGACTGTGGTTTCAAATCACAAATTATCACAAATGAAACCAATTTGTGACGTGGTAATAAGGTGGCAACAACATGTGGCGACAGTAGTGGCAAGGGTTGATGATGATAGGTGGCGACTAGAGGTCATTGTCGGCAGTGAGGTGGAAGTTGGTAAAAGGGTCATCTGGCATCTTTAAAAGGGTTCCACAAGGCATTTCGGTACCTTTTGTCATACCTTACTTATATAATACCTTAGAGTCCATTTATAATCATTTTAGACTTCCTTGGATGGTCTTGAGCTCAAAAATCTCATTTAGAACGTTACTTTTTAGAAATTACTATTCATTGTGCAATTTTCAAATTACAGGTTCAACTTTGAAAAATCATAACTAATTCTAGAAAAATTGTATGGAGGTATTCCAAAATTTTACGAAAAGCTCTTTTAATGCTCTTTAAGGAAAAAATATCCAATTAGACTTATCCTTACTCAATTCGTACAGTTTATTGGATAAAAATTACTGTTTATTTGGTAAAATCTGGACCTTTCAGATTCTATGTCTCAACTTTGGAAATTCATATCTCCTTGTATACACATCCAATTGAGGTGATTTACCTCTCATTTTAAAGCTTGAGATGTGTACTACAAGTCTACCAAATTTCATAGCTTAAATCGTTCATTTGATAGGTCAAACTAAAGCTCGGAACTAACTACTCCAGACCTACGTTTTATCCTTTCACCTTTGCTTGCTTTAATTCTTTTTATTTCTTTGGCATACATAACTAGGGTTTGATGTTTTCCATTCATGGTCATATAATTTCATTCATGCCCTACACATTCTAGGCACATACATTGCATTGATGACATTCATAACATAATTTACAACGTATGAGAATTATATATTGAACATAATTTCATTCATTAGCATCAATAATTCTCCACTTTCTTCTCCTTGCTTCTCATGCCATTATTCCCATCATTGATTAACCTAAATGGTTGGTTAGGGAGGGGTGAGATTCAGGAGAATCTCAGTAGCAAATATTACCACATACATGCACAAGATGGATGCTAGTGTATGGTATGTAGTTTTCTATAAATTTAAGTTAACTAGTACCATCATGCTTTATGCTTGGTATAAAAATACATGGCCATGGAAACATATTAAAAATAGCATTTCTAGCAACAATCATCATGTCACAACATCATATAAATATCAACAAAACAAATCAACACATAAGCATACCACATCAAGCACATAAAGGGTAAGCTCACTATCTTGCACCTCAAGCTTTCCTCTTACTTTTCCTTTGACTCCCTTGACTTTCCAACCATGTGGGTATTCGGTTAACATCACCAAACACCCTCTTGGATGTTCTAAGGTCCAAAACATAACCATATTGATCATTCAATCTATTAGGACTAAGAGATGACATAATGTTCAAGACTAGCTCTCTTGAACCTTAATCCTTTCTCTTGGTTTTAGGGTTTTCTTTCTAACCTTTCTAACATAAATCTCATCATTTCCCATCCTTAAAGTCCATTTCTTGTCAATTAGGACTACTTTAGATGGTCTTAGATTCAAGAAGATCAAATCTGAAAATTTTGCTTCACGAGTACTGTTCACATAGAAATTCTAGAATTTTTGCTTAATTTTGAAAATTCATAATTAATTCTAAAAAAAATTAAAACTGAGGGGTTTCAAGTCTCACTGAAAGCTCCTTTAGTTACTTTAAAGAAAAAATAGTTTCAGGAACCAATTCTATGTGAAACAGTACCATAATTGTATGGAATTTGCTACTTTTCTAAAGGTTAAACATTGTTTCCAGATTTTAAAACCTAACTTTGAAAAATCACCATAAATTGTACACATATCCAAATAAAGTGTTCTACCTATGGATTTAAAGCTCACAGAGTTAACTTTAATCATGCCAAATTCTAGAATTAGATACAAAGAGTAACTTATTCGAAATAGACATCAAGGCAGATGCTATAACTATCACATACCTTGATCTTGAAGCTTGAATCTTGTTCCTTCTTCTTGGCCTTTACCTCCACATTTTTCTTTCTAAATTTTGACAGAGTTTTCCCTCTACAAATAGTTGCCAAAATGCTCTTCTAAGGTGGGGTATTTATAGCCAAAACTTTGGCTTGAATGGACCAAAATGCCCCTCAAGTTCATTCAAATTACAAAGGTGAGGTGTCAACTTGTGAAGGCTCCTTGAACCATTTCCAACCGTAAAATAATTCTAAATGAAATTGATATTGAAAGTCAAAATCCTCTCCATAGGGAGCTTGGCAAGTGGCAAAATCTAGGCCAAGTAAAAAACAAGTATACCTTTACACTTTATCAGTGCACTTTATCGATCCATTCTCTTAGTTCCAGTTTCTTGGAGCACTGATATATTTGTCACCTTACCTTTGTCTTATTCCACTACCTCTTCTCTCCTAATTAATGCCTTCACATGTGTCATGATTGCCTTACATGATGCATTAATGAGTCATCATGACATTTGTCTTTTTCTTAGATATTTTCCTCTATTTACTTGGTCCTTGTTTTTTAGGGTTTCTTTCCAGTTTTCTGGAGCTCTGAAAATTATTTTATCTATCTACTCCAAAATTCCTTCCATCTTAGAGAAAATCTATGAATTTTCTCAGGTCATAACACTTCCTTTAAGCCTTGCATAAAAATCATTTACTAAAATACCCTTTTTCTCAGCATAATCAGCTTTTTAATTTATTAAAGTCATTCCACTGACCTTTTGGTTATGAGACTAATTTTGTAAATTAGTATAACTTTTCAATCATTTAACCTCATTTTTGCATACATTTTTGAGGTCTCTTTCTATTTTAAATAATTACCTCAAACGGTATACTTTTTATTGGCCATAACTTTATAAATTCCATTTAAGCTACCTCAGGGGTATTTTCATAATTTATCTTCACAAAAGAGTTTTAGAATATTATTTCTCATTTTATGAGATTTTCTTAGAATTTTCTGTATACTTTTCATTTTTACTCCTATTGCCCGTAACTTTCTGAATTTACAATTTAGTTCCTACTTGGACTTAACGTCATTCAACCATCTCTTTGAGGTTTCTAACCTACCCCTTGGTTTGTTTCTAATTTCTTTTCTCTTTTTAGGCCCTTGAGACTTTACTGGAACCTCTAGCATTGATTATACTTGAGCCCCTGAAAACTTTTATTTTGCAGTTTAATCCCTGAAACTGCTTTGACTTCCTTTTTCATCTTTGGGACTTCTGCTCAAAAAGAGCTTAGTAGCCTAGCTTCTTTAGGCTACTTCTAGGGCTCTTAGATCTAAAAATTGAGATGTGACACGCTCAACATGTAAAACCAATAGTTTTGGTCGCCAAAATTTTTTATGAAAATAATTATCTTAATTGTTCAAATTTCAAATTGATAATGGTATAATTTTGATATGGAGCCTTTTTTGTTTATAATGTGTTGTATATTTTACAATTTGTATAATTTTTTTAATAAAAATTATTGAAATATGATATTGCAATTTTATAATAATTGAATTCATAAACATGTATGGTCAAAAATTAAAAAATAGAAGGAAAAAACTCCTTGCAATCGAGAATTAATCTGCCAAAAAATAAAAAGATTAGTAAAAATATTAATAAAATATTTAAGCATTTAAATAATAAATAAATAAAAAAATGAAAAGAAAATAATACCTCCAAATCTGGAGCAGAAGGTAACGAAGACTGAGGAAGAATGAAAACTAGATGTGTTCTTTGTTAAAAGTAAGATGTTAATTTGTTTTTGGCCAGAAAAAGTAAGATGTCAATTGAAATAAGGTGTAAATAAAGTAATAAAGTAGGGTGTGAGCTGAATCGCCGCAAGAAACATCATGCATGCATTAATTGAGTTAGAATGGATTGGACAAAGCTAAAATTATGAAACCAAGCTAGAAATTAAAATAACAAAACAAATAAATGATGGAAGTAAAATCTAAGGCAAATTGATTTTTTATGCCTCGAGAGGATTAGTTTCTAAATCTAAAGCAAATTTAAAAATTATTAAAAAATAAAATTAAAGAACTGAAATAAAAATTTAAAGTTACTACTTTTTTAGTGGTTGATTGGAAGTAAAAAAACATAAATAAAAAAATAAGATAAAATTAAAAGGATAAAAAATTAATTTCCTCTTCTCAAAGTTAAACCTGCAATATCTTGCTTTTGCCTAACTATGTTTTGCACTTGCTTTATTTAGTGAATCCTTATATTAGAAAGAATCGAACTACGATCCATTACAAGAATAAAAATTTGAAAGTTTGGTTCGATGCTAAAAAGATTGACGTCCTAATGTGACCATGCATCTGGGTTGTTAGTGAGGTATTATTTGAACTAAGATCCCTGAGCATTTGAATTGATCCTTTTCTATATGTGTATTTACCCCTATTTGGTAATGATTTTTCTTTTGGGTGTTCTTTGGTAACATATCAAAGGCAGCACTTATGATGCAAATGTTATGATATAGGATAACATTTTTGTCCACAATACAAGAACTGCTTTTATAACATAAGACATATTTAACTAATTTGATTTTAATAAAGTTAGATAAATTTGTTAATTATAATAAGTATTACAAGTTTTTCATAAAACACCCTAATCTTCTTTCTCAATATCCTTCATCTCTCTCCTACTTAATTATTATTGAGGAAGTATCATTAAGGATAATTAATTTGAAAAAATTGATAAATATGAAAAATAGGTCTTATATTTAGAACCAAGATCAACTCCACAATTAAGTCTTATATTAAGGTCGGAAAGAGTATTAATCATCCATTTTTTTAACATATGCTTAATTTATATTATATATTTTAAATTAGAAAAGCAGGTACTAACCCCTATATATATTTTAAATTAGAAAAGTAGGTACTAACCGCTGTATATATTTTATATTCTATTACGTTACAGAGCTCCTGCGGACAACATTTTTCAAACATCAATGAAAGTAGAAATTGCCTCAATGTCTCTGCCCTCAAAGAATTCTAGCTCCTCGAGTGCCAAATTCCTTATCCCTTCCAATTCTTTCTTTAACCCTTCATTTACCTTTTCAACACCTTGCAACAACCCTTGTATTATCCCCACATAAAGCCCATAATTCCTCAGTTTCTCTATTTCCTCCTCACCTCCACCTCCCAACACTGCTCCACACGCAGCTCCGCAGGCGTGCATCCTACCTTCGCTCTTCTCTGCCTCTGCCTTTATATTCCCTTCAGCATCTAGTTGAGTCCTCATGAATTTAAGGTATTGTCCCTCCACCAAGCCCTCCGATCCCACCGCACGTGAGATTTCCACCATCACCCGTAGGATCCGATCTGAATCTTCTCGGGTCGGGACGTTGGATGTCGCCAAGAGTTCAAACGCGAACGGTAACATTCCATCTCCGCTAAGAAGCTCTATGTTTGGATCGTACACATGGTGGCCCCTAGGCTTGGGCCGAGGCCTATCTGTTAATGGGAGGTGCTCGTGAGTGTAGGCGACTGCTTGCATGAGTAGCAGAGCTGAAGCTGCGGGCAAGGCCCGGTCCTGCTGGCCGCCGACGAGCTCGCAAGCTACCACACAGAGCGCCGGCGCGGTGGTTCGTGGGGCGGTGAAGGCCAAATGGTGCATGGGCTCAAATACCACCAGAGGTTCCTTCATGGGAATAGCCTGCTTGAGATGGGCTTCAATGTCTGCCTGCAGAGAAGCCCAGGAAGAAGAGCGGGCAGGCGTGGTTTGCGCCGCCGTGGAGAGCTTCGACGGCAAGGGGGAACGGCGGATATCTGATCTGCATGATAATTTAACCGTGGAGTTTCCGTAGGGTTGGATAAGGGCTCCGAACATGGAGGTAACTCTGTGAGAAGGAGAAAGAAGTATAAAGATGAGGAGGAAGAAGTCAGGGAATGAGGAATGAGAAAGACTGGGGACCTCAGGAGCATAATAGAGAAGGGCTTGTTTTTCTAACGTTATTTAAGCTTGTCTGTAGCTCGCCATCGATGTGCTGCGTTGGCTGGATAACTTATTTAAACCTGGGATGCGAATGCATGGGTTACACGAGTCAATTATTGAATTACTGGGAATGAGGATGTTAAACGTGTTTACTGAGATCTGTGACGTCTTGTCATCTTCTGAAATAATAATTGAAGTGCTTTTAATATTTAAATTTGACGGAACAAGTTACAATTAAAACTGTCTTTATAACTAAGGTGTGTTTCTGCATCAAAATATAGGAAAAAATTGAATAAATTTTTTTTATATGAATTCTAATTAAATGCTTAGAAAATAATTTAAGAAAATTTTCACTTTATATATATATATATTCTTCATATATAACTTATAAAATGGGAAATTTTATTATTTTTATATTGTATATTAACCAAGGTCAAAAAAATATTGTATATTAACACTCATAACTTTTTCCCTTAATACTGATGACTTTATTGTGCATATATACTACATAATTAAATGATTTACATAATATTTGAGTTTTTTTCTTGGTCAACCACAACATTTAAGTTTTGAACACACAACCTTTTTTTATTTTTTGAGAATGACTTGATTGATGGCACTGTGTCATATAGGAAGTGGCATATTGTACTGATACCTGTATTGTATGTTTAAAAGACTAGATATTTTTGCGGTGTATAAGGGCCATATTAAGGTAGATATTAATTATTCAAGGAACTAATAAAGTCCTCATAACCATAACGTTACAAATTTTGCGGTCCAATGTTAGGTAAAGGTGTCACTCAGATTTCGAACACCTTCGGTGGCCGAATTCCCATACCCTAAATGTGTCATATATTTTAAAAATAAATCAAGAAATCATATGAGGTGTAAGTGTGTGATGACGTAGACATTCTATGGAGCATTAAAACTGGGTTTTTTTTTTTAAACTGATGATTTTAAACCCGAACAGTTGGACTGGCCGGGTGGGAGTGTTGAACGGCTCGGTTTTTTTTTATTAGAAATTGAGTTAGTAAGATTCGGTTTTGAAACCGGAAACTGGAACGGATATTCAAAAACCGGATGCTTGCCTATTTTATAATTTTTTTCTCTTTAATAATAACAGGAGAAAAACAGAAAAAATTGGTAATGAAATCAAAATGAAACCTAAACCATTTGCTGGCGATGGCCCTCCCAGATGCTAGGAGGAAGACTGAAAGAAAAGAGAAAAGGAGAACCAAAACAAGCACAAAATGTTTAAAAATAAAATGAAATCCTTAGTCTTTTTTTTATAACTAACAACCATCGTTCCTTATCTCTAAATATAAACAAATTTATAAGTTAATTTAAATTTTTATACTAAATTTTCTATTTTGTCTTTATTAAAAACTTATTTTAATAGTTAAGATATTTATTTTTTCCCTGAAACATCATTTCTTAAACAATAAATGTTCTGATCTTTTCATCACATATTTTTTTTCTCTCATAATTTTTTTATTATTATAAATTTTTATTCTCTTTTTTATACTTTCTCCTCATAAATAAGGATATTTTCAATTTTTTTTCAAACATTTTTTATTTTTAATCAATTTTAATTAACTTTTATTCGAATAATTTAGGGGAAATCACAAATAAAGACTCTCGAATTAGCAAAATCACTCTATGGTCACCTGAATATGCTAAATTACTATGAGGGACCCGGTCTCAAATTGTAATTATGAAATCATGGCCAAATTACCAAAATACCCTCTTTAATTTTTTTTTTTAAAAGAAAGCCACTGCCTCACCGGAATCCGGCCACCGGCCGGAGCTCCGACGACCGCTTCTGGCCACTGTCGGCTGCCGGACGCCGGGGTCTGGCCGCCGGAGCTCTGACGCCGGCGGCCGGTTCCGGCGGTCTTCCTTTGTTTTTTTTTTTTTTAATTGGGGGGAAGTGAGGTTGGGGGGATTTGATCCCCCAACCTAATGCTTCCCAAAATAAGGAATGACCATTGAGCCAACAAATTTTTGTTAACATTATGATGCAAAAAAAAAAAAGTTAACTCATTTACTCTTGTTCCAGGTGATAACAACAATACATTTGGAAATAACAAGTTCTGATTGTAAAATAACACGTCTGGAATAAAAATTTAACAATATGTTTTTTTTATAACAATAAATTTTGTTGCAGGCAATAACAACAATACATTTAAAAATAACAAGTTCTGATTATAAATAACAAGTTTGGGATTAAAATTTAACAACACGTTTTTTTTATAACAACACACTTTATTTCAAGTGATAACAACAATACATTTAAAAATAACAAGTTTTGATTAGAAGATAATAAGTCTGGGATTAAAATTTAACAACATGTTTTTTTATAACAACACACTTTGTTTCAAGTGATAACAACAATACATTTGGAAATAACAAGTTCTGATTATAAAATAACAAGTCTGGAATTAAAATTCAACAGCACCTTTTTTTTTATAACAATTAATTATTTTATACTTTTGGAAAATAAATTATTTATAACTTATAAAAAGTACTTGTAATCTATTTAATTTGCTGAAAAAATAATTTTTATCTCCAATTTATAATCAGAACTTGAAGTATAATTTTTTATAGATTAAAAATACTTTTTTATTGTTCAAATTTATAAATAAAATTTAGGAAAAATGGCAACACACTTTTTTAATTTTTTTAAAAATTTTTAATCTATATATCTATACAACTTATTATAAATCAAACTACTTCTTATAAATTATAAATAGTACAATTTATTGTGGATTAAAAATACTTTTTGACTGCTTAAATTTATAAATGAAATTTATCTCTAATTTATAATTAAAAATACTATTTTATTCTTTAAATATAAAAAATATTTTTAATATTTAAAGAATGAAATAATATAAAATTTATACTATGATTAATAAATCAAAAATGCCTTATTATAAATACTTTATAATTTATAAGAAGTAGTTTGATTTATAATGAGTTGTATAGATATACAGATTAAAAAGTATTTTTTAGAGAAATAAATATATTAAAAATATTTTTTATAAGTTATAAATAATTTTTTTTAAAAGTATAAAATAATTAATTGTTATAAAAAAACGTGTTGTTAAATTTTAATCCTAGACTTATTATCTTATAATCAGAACTTGTTATTTTTAAATGTATTGTTGTTATCACTTGAAACAAAGTGTATTGTTATAAAAAAACGTGTTATTAAATTTTAATCCCAAACTTGTTATTTTATAATCAAAATTTGTTATTTTTAAATGTACTGTTGTTATTACCTGCAACAAAATTTATTGTTATAAAAAAAACATATTGTTAAATTTTTATTCCAGACGTGTTATTTTACAATCAGAACTTGTTATTTCCAAATGTATTGTTGTTATCACCTGGAACAAGAGTAAATGAGTTAACTTTTTTTTTTTTGCATCATAATGTTAACAAAAATTTGTTGACTCAATGGTCATTCCTTATTTTGGGAAGCATTAGGTTGGGGGATCAAATCCCCCCAACCTCACTTCCCCCCAATTAAAAAAAAAAAAAACAGTTTCAAAAAAAAAACAAAGGAAGACCGCCGGAACCGGCCGCCGGCGTCCGACAGCCGACAGTGGCCGGAAGCGGCCGCCGGAGCTCCGGCGCCGGTGGCCGGATTCCGGTGAGGCAGTGGCTTTCTTTTTTAAAAAAAAAAATTAAAGAGGGGTATTTTGGTAATTTGGCCATGATTTCATAATTACAATTTGAGACTAGGTCCCTCATAGTAATTTAGCATATTCAGGTGACCATAGAATGATTTTGCTAATTCAAGGGTCTTTATTTGTGATTTCCCCAATAATTTACTCCAAAATTATTTGTAAAAAAGGACAAATGGAGTAATCGCTAGTACTCTCTTTCTTCTGCCATTTTCACAGCCACCAAACACTTTATTTCACGCGCCACAGCGCAACACATTCGTTGTGGCAAATGAAACTTTTTATTGTTCTTATATCTTTTGAAGGACCAACCGCATTTTTTAGATTCAAGATATTTGTCGATTTTTCTTTATTTTTTACTCTTTATTTTTTTAGTTTTATAAATTTTTAAAATTTATTTACATTTGTTTATTTTATTTTTATCTATTATAACTAATATGAAGTTAAATATACGCAATTTTGAGATATATTATTGCCATATAAGTTGTTATTTTATCATGAAATTAAACTATTTAAGTTTATATTTTAATTATTTGATAACATAATATTTTATTTTATATGTATTAATACATAATATTATTTTTAATTACTCTTCTGGTCCTATTTATAAGTTACTTCCAACATATTTCATACAGATAAAGAAAAACCTTAAATTTTATTAACTCTTATTTAAAATTCAATAATTTTCTAACTCTATTCATATTTAATATACATTATATCTTATGTAAACAAAGTCAATACAATAACAAATAAAGGATAAAATTATATGTCCATAAAAAAAATTTCTCAATGACAACAAAATGGGATAAAAAAATTATCTTTTCTCTTTGTTCTATAAAAAATGTTTTCTCTCTCTATCTTAAGTTGGAGCAAAGGAGTAATTATTATGTCGCCCATTTTATTGGCGGCTCGTGACAGGCTTATCCAAGTGGATATCCAGTTCGACTATAGTGTTAAAAATTTTGCCGTCCCGCTCTAGATGTGAAGATATTATCAGAGACCGAACACTGTACTGTCGGTGGCCTAATGTCCATGCCTTAAATGTGTTATATTTTTTAAAATAAATCAATTAATCATGTGAGGTGTAGGTATGTGATGGAGACATTCCATGGGGTATTAAAACTATTTTCACACTAATTTATTATGTGTTTATTTCATACAATAGTAAATTATTATGTCATTATCCATTCAAAACAGTTGTTTCTCGTTTATTTGGCATATTCTGTAATGGGTCCTCAAGTGGTTTCTATTTTGAAAAATTAAACAAATTTTAAACTTAAAAGATTAAAAGTAAACAAATAAATCAAGCCCTGTTATTTCATTAAATAGAAAATTAGAGGGAAAAAAAGAGAGAGAACGTTTTTTTTGAGTGAAAAAATTACATATTAATAGAGATTCTACTCCTTAAACCTACAAACAAGCTCAG